GTACCACGCTGGAATTCACTGAGCTGCTGAGAGCGACCCATTCTTTCACTAATGTCTGTAGAAGCAGTCTGCAGGCCTAGGTGCTTGGTTTTATACACCTGTGGACAGGGGAGTGATTGGAACACCTGAATTCAATTATTTGGATGGGTGAGTGAATACTTTTGGCAATATAGTGTGTATATATATATAGAAATATATATTCATATCTACAAATATTGTCTTTTATTATTTAAAGTCAGCCAGCCTTAAGAAGTTACAGTGAAGGACACTGAAGGTTCTGAAGATTGGATACATTCATGAAGGTGAGGGGGGGCTGGGGTACTGCAGCATATCAGTAAAAACAAAATTTAAATATTTGCTCAGATTTGCATGAACACGATTAAATTTATTTGTTTTATAATGGAGATTGTGGATTATGTTGTTACAGTTGGTAAAACCTTCTTTAATCTCTCTCTTTTTCGTCTCGCCAGGACCTTCTCAGGCCACGTTCCCATTTCTGCTTCCTGTGTCTGCTGGGCTTCTCTGAAAAGGGTCTCACATAACTGGGCTCCAGGAGAGCATAGCTGCTGGTGCTGTACTGAATCTGCGTCCAGTCCAGAACGCCGCCGGGCGGGAAGTAGCAATTGAGAGTGAAGTAACACTAAATGTCTCCAACAGAAAGAGCCGAGTCCCAAACGTAGACGTCGGACACCTGACCCTCAAATCCTGATATCGTTAATTCAGCCTAGTCAAAAAACACCTACAGAGGGAAAGACAGACCCCAGTATTCATACTGAAATGTTTGTTTACAGTCATGACATACTGAACTGTATTTTTAAACGCAGCACCAAACTGTATTTTTACAACAATGCATACAGCAGAATAGCACTGTAATCAACAGTATCCTCTTTTCTGAATATTACATATAGATACAGTTCAGGAAATAAAACAGTTAACACAGCTAAGAGTTTTAAAATTGAAGTTAATTTTAATGTTAAATACTTTTAAAGACTGAAAAATCCCAACAAAAGAATCAGTAGTTTCAGGCTAACAGACTCCTCAGTGACTTTGTTTACATCTGAATCATTTAATTTCATTTAATGCTGTTTTTTCGGAAATCTGGTTTCCCTTTAACATCTTAAGTATCAAGTTCAGTTCAGATTTAAATCCTAAGTTCTTCAACATCTTATATTTTCTAAACATTCCTCAATTTTGTAAGTTGTACATTTTCTAACATCCAAAGTCCCGAGTTCCTTAACATCTTAAGTCCTAGGTCCCTAACTTTAAAGGTTTTTAAAATCTCAGGTCTTAAGTTTTGTAACATCCTAAGTTCTACATCCTAGTCTTTATAATATCTTATAAGTCCTAGGTTGCTTAGCACCTTAAATTCTTAGTTTATTAATACCTTAAGTCCTACATTTCTAATATCTTGAAGTTGGTAACATCATAAGTCTCTAATATCCATCCAATTTCTAATTTTCTTAAAACCTTAAGTCCTAAGTTCACTCATTTTTTTAATATCTGTGGTCAGAAGTTCTGTAACATGTTAAGTTACTTACTAAGTAAATCAGTATCTTAAGCGCTAAGCCTTTTAGTAACAGCCTGGTCATCACCTGTCCTCTGGCGACTCCTTTGCGGATGCTCATTCTCCCATCAAACCACAGCTGGGCCATTCCACTGCTGGAATCCCAGGTGAAGCACCTGTTCCTCCACGGCCACAGCTGCAGAAAAGATGGCACCATTGCGAACGTCTCAAAGCTCATAGTGTCACTATTTACATTTAAATAAATGGTAGAGGAATCCGGTCCCGTATAAGAGACTCCATCAGTGCTGTTCCCAAACGTGAGCTCAACGCTGTAGTAGAGTTTCTCAATCAGAACCCTCAGGCAGACGGTGAGTCCGGTGATGTTAGAGGGAGCGTCTGAACGGAACCGGACTTCTCCACCAGACATCACGCTGAACATCTGTCCCTGTAGATCTGATTACACAGAGAAGAACATCAGCGTTACACAAAACAGATTTAACATATTTCAAATATATACAACCCCATTTCCAAAAATGTTGGCGGGGGCATGTTTACCACCGTGCTGCATCGCCTCTTCCTTTAACAACACTCTGTAAGTGTTTGGGAACTAAGGAGACCGACTGAGGAGATTTCCACTACAGAATTATGTCTGTTTTTTCATGTCGGCCATACAGTATTGGTTTTCAGCCTTGTCCCTTACATACAGAGATCTCCCCCGATTCTTTTAATGATATTATGCACTGTAGATAGATAGATAGATAGATAGATAGATAGATAGATAAACAGGCACACAGATGCAGAGATGATGAATGGCAGTGCTGGAAGCTGGCAGTTGCTCACTGCACTGCTCTGCTGCACAGTCATTTAAAATGTTTCGAGTTTTTGGATGTTCTGTGTTGTTTAGTGTGCTGACATTAAGCATTGGTTCTACTGATTGTTACCCACATGACTACCTCATTCATGCTTACTAAATTTGGTGTAATTTCCCCACATCAGTCAAGAGGGGGTGTTGTGTTGCTTTACACTGACACTATGGGTCTTAACTAAAACTATAGAGCACATGATCACCTGTAGTCCCAGGGCCCACCAGCAGGTGGGGTGTTAACTCCTGCTTTGTTGGAATGAAAGCCTGCAGCCATACAGGCCCTGTGTGGATAAGAGTGGTGACCGCTGGCTTAGATGGTTGTGCCACTTGAGAGTCCTTCACCACTGACCACAAATAGTCTAAAGGTTGCAGATGTGCCAGATTTGTTAACAGCATGTACATGTCCTGGCCACTTTATCAGAAACCCCTCTCTTGTAGCTCCAACTTGGTGGTGTACAGTTAGACACTGTAGTCAATCTGTGTTAGCTTTCCATTAGTCCTTCATTATGTTCTAAGAAGATTTGCTTAAGTTCTCTATGTTACTCAGTACTTAAGTAGCTTTTTAAGCTGCTGCTTTTTTACTGTTACTTTTTTAACAGGATGGGTTCAGGATTCTCCACATTTCTGGAGGTTTTGCACCTATTAAGTGGACTGAGCCCACCACAGATTCACTGACAGCCCACTGTATCCTACATTTCAGATTACTGACAGAGAAGATTTGTCTCCGACACAGTGAGGTGGGAAAAAAGAAAGAGAAAGAAGGACAAACGACACATCTTACTTCCGTTTTGCCACGAGGCTGTTTGTCCTTCTGCTGGAATCACCACAGCGAAGCACATGCAGAGTAGAGCCCAGACCATCATGAAGCTTCAGAGAAGATCTTCAGCTCAGAGCACTGCTGTTCTTATTCTGTCTGCAGCTGAGAAACAGACAGCAGGTCAGACCGACGATGGCTATCTGAGTAACAGGAAGTGAAAGAAGGAATTTGGACACATCCTTATAAAGTCATGTCATTCTGTAGCTGGTTTCGCATTCATATTATCAGCTCTGGGACTGAGCTGTTTTCCTCTGGCATTTTTGAAAATTGCTGTTATCTCCCTTTTGGTAAACAAAAATTTTCTACTGTACATTTTGTCCTGCGTACATTTTTTCTTGGAATGAAACATGAGGTCGTTTAGCAGATTAAATATGAATATCGATATAAACATGCTACAAGCAAGCTAATTCTGCTGTGCACTGAAGTGATGTCACATAAAAGTAAGTCTACTATTTAACCTTATCACTGTGGTATGGACCACTCTACCAAACCGCACTCCCACACTAAAAACAATAACGTTTTCAGAGCTGAGATATTTACAATAGATTGTTATGACCTATTTAAACTCAAGACAATAGAAATATTAAACAATACATAAAAACACATAACTTACAGGGTACTTTCTATTGGGAGGAGTCTGCCCCAAACCCTAACCCCTAAATTTACACTTGTCAAAATAATATTACATTTTTTGTCCTCAGTATTTTTCTAAGATCTTTTTTTTCCTTTTAAAGTGAAGTTGAGATATTTATATTTATCATGAGTTTAATAAAAAATAATCCACAAGATGCTGTCTTACGTTTTCATGTCACGAAACACAGAATTTTAGTCTGTATGCAGAGCCTTATTTTACCCACATTCCTGCATTTTAGAGCAGGAAGTGAGGCTGCACCCCACCCCCTCATGGCCACATGGTGAGCAGTTAGATCCCATTGTTTTGAAGTTAATGTGTCCCAAAGTCTGAAAATCAGTGTGGAACATTAAGAATTGTTACTACTGAAACATACATTTTTTGTTTTTCACAATTTTCACTGAAGACAAAAGGATTTTAGTTTAAAGTCCAGTTAAAAGTCCCCAAATGTGTTTTAACTCAGACTTTGAACCAGTTCAGCAGAATAATCCACACACCAACACCAGCTACTCAAACTGCGGCGTGTGTGTTGGGTATTTTGGTGAGGTCAGTGTAGTGCCCCACAAATTTAGCTCACATGTAGTATATTAACAACCTTGCAATTCACAGCGTCTGAGAGAAATATATTTGTACAGGAAAACACACCAGCTTTGAAATGTTCTCTGCTGCTCTGCTGGTGACACTGTGCCAAACCCACACTGGGCACACACTGTAAAAAATGATCATCGGTTCAAAATTATTTCTTGTGGTAACAAGTTAACTAGTTTTATTAAACTTAAATAAATACTTAGAATTAACGCTTCTTTTAAGCAGTGTCATTTTTTTGAGTTGAATAAAACTAGTTCATTTGCTTGCTACCACATGAAGTAATTGTTTTAGGTTGAACTGATGAACATTTTTTACAGTGTTGGGTAGAAAACAGAAAAATATGCAGAGCAAGCAAAGACATGGAGATCCACTGATTTAAAAACACTAATAAGTAGCTCCCCCTTGTGGGAGTTCATGATGCAGCTCTAAAAACATTTTGAAGAGAGAATTATTCAAAAGTAATTTTTTTTGTTTTTTTCCCACTTAGTGAATGCAATCCACCCCTTAGACCAAATATATAAAATTATTTTAAAATTTTAAATGATACATAATCAAAATATGTCTTTTTGCATTTCTAAATATAGTACAGTGTTTTTCTTATGTATTCCGATATATTACAGTAACTAAGCAAATGAAAGCTATAAACTAAGCCAAGATAAGAAGAGTTATTTATATATCACAGTTCAGCTCCCTTAAATTTTGCATACAAATGCAGACCAGGATGTAGTGGAGGTTCCTAAAAAGTGGTTTTAATTAAGCAACACAAAACAAATCACAGTAAAACACCCCAATGTTTGAAACTCTAAATATAACAAAAGCACACAAAAACTGACAAGAAAATCAGCACAGAGAGAATAAAATACCTACAAATAGCAAAGCAGAATTCTCACAGAAGCTACAGCAGACATTTACCCCCACTGTACTGACGCTCTGGCGCCCCCTGCTGTTCAGGTGAAAAATGTAAATCCCAGAACATGCATCCGAAAATGACATGAACATGTTAAATTCTCTTTGCCTAAAATTTTTCTTCTCTTTCGCTTTCTTTTTTCTTTCTATATATTAAATTAACTTAAATAATCCCCCATCATGTTTAAGGCCAGGAAATCCTCTTGTGTAGTATGAAAGCTCTGTTAATGTCCACCTGTAGTGGAGTGGCTACATTCTTCTCAGTTTAGTCCACCTTGACATTTCATGTCATTAAACTTTTCACATGTAAGATTTTGTAAAACTCTAAGTATCCATAGGAACCCTGTAAACATCACACTCACTCATTTAATATTGTAATGAAATGCAAATTAAATGAAAAGTAAAGGGGTAATTGTAAGAATTTTTTGATGTATTCCCAATGCCTTTGAGCACAGAAGTGTCATCACCAATATTAGGTCATCCACCAACATGAAGTGCACAGGAAATGATGTCATGGAGAAAGTACATAGGTTTGGTGATCATAAGTTTGACCAATCAGACACCAAACACACATGGTACCATGTAGAACAATGGACTACTGTGTGTTTGCCATCCTCTCCTCATAAATCAGAATAAGAATGATGTCCTGGTGCTGTAAAATAAAGAATAGAAGAGAATAATAAGATATAATCAGTACAGTGTGATAAGAAAGTAAGATATGGGACAGTAAATAGAGAAACAGTTCAAAATATATTTTGATGTAATTGAGAAAATTTGCATGCTTTTGGATGAATTTAAATGTTTTAAGTATTGAGTAGTCTCTCAGTGACTAAGAAAGTAAGAGAGATCCTGTTCATACCTGGTATTAACATCTTGAGTGATCTGATCACAAGTGAACTGCAAAACATAACTGTTTAAACTCTGCATTTTCATGTTTCAATTGTTTCACCACTGAACACTTATGATTTGAACACTTATCCTCCCTGAAGACCTATGAACTTGTCCAAGGATGTGAACAATGACTGGTTGGCATCAAACTTGTAGTGTTGCCAGTCTCCTGTCATAGACACTGCACAAATTTATGGCACTATGATAGCCTAATCCATCATGAAAGACAAAAAATATTGTGTAGTCTAATCCCAGCATTTTAGTAAAAAAAATCTGGAGAGCAGATAAATTTAGCCAGACTGATGGCTGAGACTGAGATAAGTCAGAGATGATTAAAAAATGTCTTGAGTGTAGAATCGAATCTGAGACCAGCCTTGAGTACTAAAGCCCTACTAAGCACCTCTGGAGGTGATCTGATTGATCGGATTACAGTGCTAAATGTTAATATTAAACAAAATGTGTGTGTATACAGAGAGAGCAACATACTGTAGTGTCTCCAGTTTACAGTGTTGATCCTCCAGTAGAGCAGAGAGCTCCTTTATTGCTGAGTCTCCTGGTTTATTCCATTTCAGGTTCAACTCTCGCAGATGCGATGAGGTGTTTGATTTCAGAGCTGAAACCAGAGCAGTACAGCCTTCTTCTGTAATACTGCAGTGTTCCAACCTATAGAGAGGAGTAAAACTCTTCAAACACTTTAAGATTAACATACCCAAGCACAATAAATGTATCTCTGTATATGTGTGTGGTCCTTATTCACTGTGATGAAGTGATCTTACTCCAGCTTCTCCAGTTTACAGTGTGGACTCTCAAGTCCAGCAGAGAGCAGCTTTGCTCCTGAATCCTGCAGAAGTTCATTGTAACTCAGGATCAGTTCTCTCAGACATGAGGAGTTTGAGCTGAGAGCTGAGGATAGAACTTCACAGCTCTTCTCTGTGAGATTACAACGCCATAACCTGGAGAAGTAATGATGATGCATTATAACAATCCCTCTCTCTCTCTTTGTCTTATACACAGATAGGACGAGACCCAGGCCAGGCCCTTAGTATGTTTTTACAGCTATTTTCTGTAAACCTGTACATTAAGGAATCTTGTTTACTCTGAAAAAACATCCTTTTTGTAACCTATTTCTATAAATTCAACAGAGTCTGACAGATTTTAATGAAATGGTAAAGAAAAATGCAGAGAAAAAGCCAGCTGAAGTCCCTGAAAACATGGAAGTGTGAGCACCTTATAAATGAACTGCTTTTTTTTAAAAAAACATTTTGTTTACTTCTTTATACACACATGTAATATGATATAAACATATATATTGACCTCCAACATGGAGTGATGGATGGGCTAAGATAGGAACTGCTGTAATAAATCACAGAAATAGGTTAAAATGTGAGATTTTAAAAATTAAATTATATGTGAATGTAGTCACCTCAGTGTCTCCAGTTTACTGTGTGGATTCTTCATTCCAGCAGAGAGCAGCTTCACTCCTGAATCCTGCAGGTTATTGTTACTCAGGTCCAGATCTCTCAGACCTGGGGAATTTGAGCTAAGAGCCGATGCCAGGGCTGCACAGCTTTTCTCTGTAAGATTACAATCCCGCAACCTGGGAGAGGGATTTATACATCATAACACTGCCAACACAAGCACACACACTCACGCATGGCCTCTTTGGCTGAAAAACAAACAAAGAAAATATATTAAAACTGTGTGCTTGTGTTCATAAACAGTCAGTAAGCCAGTAACTCACTGTAATTTCTCCAGTTTACAGTGTGGATCCTCCAGCAGAACAGAGAGCAGCTTCACTCCGGACTCTCCTGGTTTATTACAGTTTAGGTTCAGCTCTCTAAGCTGAGAGAACATTGATTTCAGAGAGGAAGCCAGAACAGCACAGCCTACAACAGTAATACTGCACCATTCCAGTCTGCAGAGAAAAAGAAAAAAAGATCTCAGACTTCAAATCAAAATCAAATCAAATTTTGTCACACCATGCTTATACAAGTGCAAAGATGAATCAAAATTTTGAGTGCCTTGAGTGCATATTACATGCCCCATAAAATACACAAAATACACAAGATTTACATACTACCATACATGCTATGCAACACTAACATCCAAGCTATCATATTGTCATGTGTCATATACACTGTACAATACATACTATCATTAATAGCCTGGACATAATAATAAACCCTGATTAGATGCTGCACAATACCCAGAACAGAAATGAGTGGGGTGTCAGTGGGTGGTGTACAGTATGCAGTGAACTGTCACATGGCAAACACAATAAAGCACAATGTGACTTCCGGATTGTGTGGTGGTAAGGGTGGGAATGTCATTAAGGTTATGAGTTCAAGGGGAAAATAAAGAGTTTTGCCAGAGATGGACTGCCAGGTGACGAGTTATACCTGTTTCAACTTCTGCCTGTAGATCAAAAGGAGCTGGATGGAAAATTGATCTGCTTTGCCAAATGAAGCTTGGAGGGCTGTGTTAGCATTCCAGAAGAGAATGTAGGTATGGCCAAGTGCCCAGTATTTCTGTGTTGCAGGTGATTTCTCTCAGGTTTGTGTACATGCACTAATACTAACAGATTAACACACACAATCACACACTGTAGTCTGTGACTGTGGGAACAACATCTACAGTGATAAGGAGATGATCTCACCTCAGTATCTCCAGTTTACAGTGTGGATTCTCCAGTCCGACAGAGAGCAGCTTCACTCCTGAATCATGCAGGTTATTCTTACTCATGTCCAGTTCTCTCAGACTAGATTTTTCTAAACTGAGAGCTGAGGCCAGAGCTGCACAGCTTTCCTCTGTAAGATTACAACCACACAGCCTGGGAGAGAAATTTTGAAATATGTAATTTACATGCTAAACATTTCCAAATTTCACCCCTTAATTATTACTGAAAAAGACCCTTATCACACACACACACACAAACACACACACACACACACAACAGTGATGATCTCACCTCAGTGTCTCCAGTTTACAGTGTGGATTCTCCAGTCCAGCGGAGAGCAGCTTCACTCCTGAATCCTGCAGCTGCTTATTGTCACTCAGGTTCAGTTCTCTCAGACTTGAGGAGATTGAGCTGAGAGCTGAGGCCAGAGCTGCACAACTTTTCACAGTGAGATTACAGCCACACAGCCTGAGAGAGAAAATATGATCAAAACACTTCCTATTCCTACACATATGCACACACACTGTTTGTTTGTGTGATCTTATCCACAGTGATAAGGTGATTATCTCACCCCAGTATCTCCAGTTTACAGTGTGGATTCTCCAGTTCAGCAGAGAGCAGTTTTACTCCTGAATCCCACAGCAGTTCATTGTAACTCAGGTTCAGTTCTCTCAGACTTGATGAATTCAAGCTGAGAGCTGAGAACAGAGCTGCACATCCTTTCTCTGTGAGGTTACATGCGCTCAACCTGGAAAAGAAAAAAATATGATACAATAGAACAGTGGCTTCTCTCTTTATAATACACACATATACACACACATTGGTTAACATTCAGTAATATGAATATTAAAACTGTCTGTATTTAAAAAACTCACTGTAGTTTCTCTAGTTTACACTGTGGATCCTTTAGTAGATCAGAGAGCAGCTTCAGGCCTGACTTTCCAGGTTTATTGTAGTTCAGGTTCAGCTCTCTCAGTTCTGATGAATTTGATTTTAGGGCTGAAACCAGAGCGGCACAGCCTTTATCTGTAATATTGCAGCGTTCCAGCCTGAAGAGATAAGGAGAAAACCGGTTTCACCATCTCAGGCACATGACTGCTATGTAACATTACAAACAAAACTACAAGAAACACATACAATCTCTCCATCTCAGGCACAAGAATACACCAGAACAGAGGTGGCAGCATACCTCCAAAAGAAGTACACTTTAATGAATTCAGTGCCATACTCCATGCATAATCTATGATAGCATTAAAAACAGATGAGTTTTATGTATAAATCAAATTAAATGCTAAAATCGCATGTGAAAATGTGTGAAAATTCTATCAGTTCCATATTTATGAATGAAAACCTGCAGCCACATTGACCCTTTGTGGCAAATCCTATTGACCCCAATTCAGATGGCCACAGAGAAGAATGTAAGGGGCACATATACAATTGTAGTAAATATTCAGTATATCCAGTACAGTACACAAGTGGTTTCTCTTAAAATATTAATATAATGAATCAGTTTTGAAAGTGTATTTGTTAATTCTGAATTAAGAGCTATACATGCAATACATCTTCAGAGTGTGTATGCTTTTGCTTGAGCCTGTTTTTTGGTCCATTTCTTCAAATGAAAATACCCACACAGCTTTTCTGGAGGCTTGTACCACTGGTAGCAGTCTCAAAAGACATTCCTCTGATGAGCCATATTTACTGAGGTTGAACTCATTCCTGTCCTCTTTTGTGCTGAGCAACACAACCTGCACAAGTGACCACTGAATAGTAGAAAGCCTGGTTCCATGGAGACGACCATCACCTCTTCTACTTAGGTATGTTTGGACTTGCCACACTAGAGAAAAGTTATTCAGACAATGCAACAGATTGAAGGATTTATCTAGAAATAAGTATATACTTGAGCTTTAAATTGTAGATTTATTCTTCAGAGCAGTCTTCAAAAGTCATAAAAAGTTACATACCATTTTGGATTTGTGCTCTCTCTGGAAAAATATAAACACAGTAACCATTAATTAATATGAACACAAGCAGAAAAAAACAACATTCATTTTATTTTCTTGGGGAAGGGGGTCAGGATGGTAAACAAAGTGTGGTTTATTGCAATTTGCTGCAGTTACACTATGCAATGTAAGCAGTATAACAAGAGGCAGAAATTCCAATTTTAAAATATTATTAGGTTATGTATATTTTATCATATAAAACTGAGAACCACAGTAGTCTGAGTTTAATAGCTGTCTCAAATGTATTAATTACAACTAATTTGTTGTCCCATTTGAGAAAATATTTATTTAAATTGTAGTTTCCTGGACCATGTATATTCAGCTATGAGTGCACTGCTTGTGACTGTAGACCTGTAGATTTATGATCATCCTATTAATATAATGGGGACAATATTGTATACATGATAAACAACATCTTTTTGGATGTAGCACATCTTTTTTTAAGGTTAACATATTTTTGACGGATTATGTCAGTAACAGAATTAAGAGCCAGAGTTAGTGAAACCATAGCCTAGATTGGTATGCATATTTTATTAATTCTTTTCATGCTTTTTATTAAAGCATAATTTCCACATCTGTTTAGTTTTTCTTAATTGTTTAGATGCATTTATTTCTCAGCACTTTAAATGCAAATACTGATGCAATAAAACCATTTCTCACAACAACTATTCAGGGATGTCTCTTTACTCTTTAATAAGCACCACTTTTATCAACTAACACAAATCTGAAATTTATATAATGTGCAAAATGATTAAAAACAAACTGAAGTATATTGATAAACCTGTGTCAATATTGCTTTCTATCAACAACCCTGCAGGCCTGGCAAAAAGGGTGCTAAATGTTGTTTCACGTATGTATTTCTGGCTGAAAGTTGACTTCTTCATCACAGCTTTTTGTTCTAATTTTCTGTTCCACCTTAAATAGAGTAGCAATTACATTCTGGCACCTGTACAGGATGTAACTGCAGCACCGTTTAAGAAAAAAATGGGAATTTTGGTTAAGTAGCCAGCCTTACCAGTTTAACAGACAAAACTCATACCTGAAGAACAAATCCCTCAGTAATACTTTACAGCAATGCCACATTTGTATGTAGCTGTTAGCCAGATGAACCCTGTGAAAGTTCTCACCATTTATCTGAATGGACCCTTCACTACTGATATGAAGCAGTACATACATAACAGCAGCCTATAGGAAGGAATATAAATTCTACAGGCCAAAAATGTAAAGCTTCAACAAATTGTTAAATTTTCCATTTCATTCTGAAGCTCACCGAAAATGTATTCAGAATACAGAAATTCAGTATGTGTATTCAGTCAGTTTACATTTTAAAAGGGTAGTAATCAGGATAACGTCTCACTGTATTTGGGAAAAAAAAGCTAAATTCCACAATTACATGAAGTAGTTAATTGCCTGAAATTACACAACCCAAGTAAGTAAAAATAATTCAAACCAATTGAGGCACATTTTTCATTCATCAAGGTACAAACAATGTAAATGTGCCCTCAAAGGTACAACAGTGGTTTTAAGGTCTAATTATGAACCTTAAATAAGTTTTTCCAGGTGAAAATTTCGTATTTGTACCTTTTCATAACCGAATGTTTTAAAACAGAAAAGTAAAATAAAAGCCTGCAGACGAGACGGGGTGTGTGGAGTCAGTACAGCTTAGAACATATCATTTCAGTGGATTATGGCACAGTTATGTTCCCTGACTAAAGGTATTGAAATGAACCCTTGAGTCCACCCCAGAGTCCATCCACTAGAGGAGCACTGACCCAGTGACTGTTTACTACTTTTATTTCTGAGAGTGAAGGAATCTGTAGTTTTACATTACTGGTAAAAGTATGAGTAAGCTCAGTGTGTTCTGTGTTTATTTTAGAGTAGACAGTGTTTTTTGTAGATGCTAGTTTACCTCTCCAAAAGATAAATCCCATTTGTCCAAGAACTCCTAGAGCAAGGACTGTAATCCAAACAAATGCAGTCTTCCAGGCATTGCCTACATTGCAAACAAAAAGTTCCCATTAAAATCCCAGCCCCAAAATCATAGTAGTGGAATTACTATTCAAAATGCTAAGCTGAAAGATGGTGATTTAGTAAAAGATTTAGTTCTGCTTATAAAAAAATAACCCAGGTTCCAAAAGAAAGGGAAAAAGCAAGCAGACAAAACTTTATAGTTTTTTTGAAGATTCATTTTCAGTGCTTGTCTGGAAACTTTTTTCCTCAATTTAGTCGTATCCAGTTCCACCAAAAAGTTCCATCTCCCTCTATTGCACAATACTGCCAAGCTGAGAAGGTTTCAAGTTTCAAGTTTATTTGTCATTTACATAACATGTCAGGACATTTATGCATTGAAATGCTTGTGGTGAGGCTCAGATAGTCACTCTACAGAAAGTAAATAAGTAAAAGTAAAATATAAAAAAAAACTGAAAAATATTAAATATACACAACATATACCTAAAATATAAAGAAAATATACAAGCATGAGCTTTCTCAGAGACATGAGAAGCTCCAGCACATCTGTTTTCAAACTACATTACTTTTTGATGTCAAAGATCTTAGCTTGCAGATAAAATTGCTGACCATAAATATAATATGCTGTTTACTACTTAGATGTATTTGAATACTTCTGTTAAATGGTTTCAGCTGTTTGACTTACCTGAGATGGTAATATCTGCCTGCATCATGTGATCCCTCTGTTTCACTCTGCAGTGGAACCTGTCGCCGTCATTGTTTGGTACAGTGATGCGATGTTTCACACTGAAGCTCTCTGTGTCTCTGTGTGTCTCTGTAACTCCAGTCAGGCTGTTTCCATTTCTGTCCAGCCACTGAAGATCAGGTTTAGGCCACCAGCCTTTAGTTTCACACAGTAAATTGACCTCACAGTAAACTGACCTCTCCACAGTAATCTCTGGGTGGGTTCCAACAACTGTGGATAAAGTAATAACAACATGGATTGTGCATATACACATATGGACAAACATATTGGGACACCTACACATTACACCTACAGGAGCTTTTATGAATCCCATTCTAAGTTAATTAATATGGAGTTGCCCCCCTTTGCAGCTCTGACAGCTTCCACTCTTCTGGGAAGCTTCTACAAGATTTTGGAGAGTGTCTGTGGGAATTTTTGTCCGTTCATCTAGAAGAGCATTTGTGAGGTCAGACACTGATGTTGGACGAGAGGGTCTGGCTCACAATCTCCGTTCTAGATCATCCCAAAGGTGTTGGATGGGGTTGAGATCAAGGCTCTGTGAGGGCCAGTCAAGTTCTTCCACACCAAACTCACCCAGTCAGGCCTTTATGGAGCTGCTTTGGTCACTGGGGCTCAGTCATGCTGGAACAGGAAAGGTTCTTCCCCAAACTTGTCACACAAAGTTGGAAGTGTACAAGTGTCCAAAATGTCTTGGTGCTGAGTCATTAAGATTTCCCTTCACTGGAACTAAGGGTTCTAGACCAACCCCTGAAAAACAGCCCTATATCATCATCCCTCCTCCACCAAACTCTACAGCTGGCACAGTGCAGGCAGGCAGGTAATGTTCTCCTGGCATTCACCAAACGCAGACTCTTCTATCAGACTGACAGATAGAGAAGCTGATTCGTCACTCCACAGAATACGTTTCCACTGCTCCAGTGGCAGCAGGCTTTACACCACTCCGACCCCCCAAGTGGGGGCTCTTGGCATTGTGCATTTTGATCTTAGGCCTTTGTGCAGCTGCTCAGCCATGAAAACCCATTTTGTGAAGCTCCTAATATGCAGTGCTTTTGCTGATGTTGCATCCAGAGGCAGTTTGGAACTCTTTAGTGATGATTCAACATAGGATAGACACTGCTCTTCAGCACTTGGTGGCTCTACTCTGCGAGTTTGTGTGGTGTACCGCTTCGTGGCTGAGCTGTTGCTGCTCCTAGATGCTTCTTTTTCACTATAATAGCACTTACATTTGACAGGGGCAGATCTAGCTGGACAGAAATTCCACAAACTGACTGGCAGAGGTGGCATCCTATGATGGTGCCATGTATAAAGTCACTGAGCTCATCAGCTCATGCTGATTACACCAAACTCAAAGGCTTAAATAAAGAAAGAATAACAGGAAGAATAACATCTTAGCATTTCTTTGTTATTAAAACTACCAAAAAATCAATTATACCTTCAACTCTCACTTGGACGATGCAGTTACCAAACACACTGTTCCCATTCTCAATTGAACATGAATAGTTTCCCTCATCAGACACTCTAACTTTGGACAGAAGCAGTGAGACATTGCCTTGTGGTAGCTCATCTTTAAATAAAGCAGTCCTCCCTCTGTAAAATGGATCTTGGTCATTGTTTATTTCCTTGTTGTGTTTGTAGAGATGCACTTGCGAGTTTAGTCTGGACCACTCAACTCTCATGTTCAAAGCACTGGTGTTGGGTTGTAAAGAGCATGGCAGAACTACATCAGATCCAGCTGGGGCAGAAAGGGCAGTATCTGGACCCCTTACCTGGAGCTCCTCTGTAAAGGGAAACACATCATGCTGAAAATAAACATTTATCAAGTTATTCACAAGTACATGATGTATAGACACAGATGAGTGCGTAAAGGTAAAATACATATCAGGGATGGGATGAAGTGCAATAAAAGTCATGGGCTGGAGGTTAGGGAACCAGCCTTGTGACCGCAAGGTCGCCAGTTCGATCCCCTCAGACGGTAGCACGTGATTGAAGTGTGCTTGTGCAAGGCAGTTATCCCCGAACTGCTCCCCGAGCACTGTGGATAGGGCTGCCCACCATTCTGGGCAAATGTGCTCACTGCCCCCTAGTGTGTGTGTTCACTAGTGTGCATCAATGTTTTAATGAACTGATGGGTTAAATGCGGAGATCTAATTCCTCTGTGTGCAAACACAGTTGGCTAATGGTTCTGAATTCTTAGAATGCAGTCAGAATACAGAAATTAAGTGTCCATATTAAGGCCCAATTCTTCTGTCTCCTTGCCCCTTGGAACTGAGTTACAGGATGCAGTGGTTGAAATCTTCCCAACGAAACGGAACAACCCTCAAATAAAAAAAAGCATTACTTCATTAATAACTACTGCTGCTGGGCTTTAGTTACATTTAGGGCATCATATGTCTTCAAAGAGGGGGGCAATTATTTATTACAACCCACCACTAATTCTTCAATGATATGAAGCTGAAGTCATTTTCCTGTTCCACCTTAACTGAAGCAGCAGTTACATTCTGCCACTTCAGGCATTGGTACTGCTGGACTATTTAAAGAGTAGCTCCACCCTAAGACCTTTTTTTTTCATTATTAGCTGAAATGCACTGTTTTGTACTAATAAAATATACCAGCTTTGCTTAAAATGTAAACACATCTTTCCAAACTGTAAAATATCATTTTTATCGTGGTCAGTTCTGCCTCTGCAGTGCCCTCTCTGGTTTAACTCTGCTTTAGGCGTGGATGATGTGTCTTCATACTAGAGAACCATGACACGTCACAGTATGCAAATCAGTCACACAACGTTACCGCCCCCGATGACGCTCTACTCGTGCTGCACTCAAATATGAAACACGCACTGAGCTAAACACCCCCAGCACCACCTCACAAGGTTGCGATATGCCAGCTGTCTGTACCAACTGTAAACAACCCAGTTAATCTGAGCTTAGTTTGTAATAACATGTTGGACTGATTAAGTGAGGATTCTTGTCTCCACAAAGCTGCCAGTGTTGCATCCGATTCACGCTTCCCTTCACAACTCAGACCCTCGGGCGTGACTCACTGAACAGAAATCAGCGGCAAGCAGCACTGAAACTATGGAAAGCGACACGGTTCAGGAAACATTAACATTAAATAGTCATTGTTGCCGACTGTGTCAACCTTTCATCCATACAGCCTTTCTCAGACTTTTTGTTTGCTTTCTGTTCCAGTGCTGCTTGCCGTTGATTTCTGATCAGTGAGTGCGGCGCCCGAGGGTTCGACTTATGAAGCGGAATGTGAATTTGAGAGGGAACTGAACCGGATATAACACCGGTAAGTGCCGTGAACAGCTTGCACAACGGATTTCGGACCACTGCAGGAAACCCTGACTGACCGGTGATGCAGTATGCGACCTTGATGTCAAACTGAATGAAACTTAGACAGGGTTTAAAGAAATCCACTTTATTCATTTGGAATTCAGTGCATCTAAGAAATCAGGACTCTGGTTATATCGATTATGGACATGCTGAACAGATCATTAAATACCAGCTGTCACGGTTTTAGGGAATGTTCTACCGTTCGGCACCTCTGCCGCTCCCTGCTAATCATTTTCTGGCACTACATTAACTCTTTGGCGGCTTGAGTCAGCGGCTCATACTTTTAAGGCTTGAGATGCACTGCCTGATCAGAAACATGTTCCCTCGTCGAAGATGGAGAGGGTAGTAGAGAAAAATTGTCAGCTCCCTAAGACTCTCAGCTGCAAAATTGCTGTTTGATTCTGTCACTCTCCATATTTTCTGGTAGCTAACGTACGCTAGCTCTAAAACCACAGCAGATTTTTTGATGTACAGTAACTGTGTTAATGTCCACTGAACTAAATCGCGCAGTTCTTTGTTCTATGTACACTCATTGGTTTTTATTTATGTCTTGTTTTTTTTTGTGATATTACACCAATAAGCCACAAGTGTTACAGTAGTTATGATGCAGAGCAGGTAAAATCCAGCCTTGATTGGTTCACTGCTTTAATAAAACGGAGAAACCTCAGCACATTAATACAGAATACCATGTATGTGTGCAGTCAAATGTATATTGAATGTTTTATAATGACTTAAAATGGGCCTCAGCCTTGTTTTACTACCCATTCTATAATTACCGATTCAGTTTATGAAGAGATGATAAAACACATGCATGTGTCAAAACAGCTTGTCTTTTCCATGTACCAAAGTATAAGATAAGTATAGGAAAAGTATAATAATAATAATAATAATAATAATAATAATAAAATTTGACTGAAGAGCTAAATATAATAATAGATTGAACAATGTTTGAATATTACATTGTGACTGTGTTTATCTAATTGAACAAATCAGCATTGCGTCACAATAACAAAGAACTTTCTTCCGGGTGGATGATGCTGGACTGATTTAACAGGATTTTGTACTTGATTCTTGGAGTGTTTTTAACCAGAAGCAGAACTTTTTTCAGTGAACTTAAGAAACATCTAAATACTGATTTAGTGTGCACCTCTACATATGCATTACTGAACTAGTAAACTATTTGCTCTTAATGTTTTCGCTGATATTGATAAACATGTGAGTAACTATAATATATACTAAAGCTGTTCTGGTGCCGTTAAATTCTATTTTATACTCTGAAAACTTAACACCATTAGCTGGACTGCTTGGGGTTCATTTTCTCTCATCTAATTATGAGCAGCACTAGCCATTGATTTTCACTGCAGTGTTTCATAAAAACAGATGTTAATAAGCAGCCTTTATTTTATTTGCTATGATAATACTAAAGGTTGTTACATTAGCACCAAGCTAAAATGCATTCACTGGGCTTCTGAAAGCTGGAAAATGGGAAAAGCTGAATGCTGAAGCAGTGTGTTGCTGGGTATCCACGTTAGCTCGTTCTCTGGTCCTGTTTCCAGGCCATAGACAGGGATGAGGGGAACGTTTTTACTTTAAAACATTTTAGAGTCAGGGTTAGCTGCTCTGAGGTGACACCCAGTCACTTTAGTGCATTTTTGCATCTCTCTCTCTCTCTCTCTCTCTCTCCTTTTTAAAATAATTTTATGGTGGACATGTTTCAGCTCATCATGATTTTGGAGAGTCAATATACCATTAAGCATGTAAAAAGCATAAGAGGTAGAAGTTCCTCTTCTATCCTCACTTTATTCCACATATCCTACATTTATTTACACAATGTAAAATGTGCTTGCTGTGCTCAAATAAGGAAGAAGAAGATCCACTTGTGAAAATGCATAAAAACACACTTCATGCTAGAAATTTATGTTTCTTTTCCAGTGATATGTGAAATTCTGCTTATTGATGCTGTTAATAGTTTTGGTTTTGCAAAAATGTCTTTTAATTGAGTTTACCTGAAAGAGTGTAGTGGAGGAACAGAGCCATCACACAAATGCACTGCATTTCTGAAATAAGAAGAACAAGATAATAAAGGTTCACTTATAGTTGTAACAGTAATATGTGTTCACTCAAATATCCAGATTTGATCAAACTGTAGCAGCACTGTCATGTGGTAATAAGTAAACCAAAGACAGCATAATACTCATTTGTACTGTAGGTGTATTATGTTTTATATTTCATTTAATAGGCAAATAGACTCTTAAACTAACACCTTCTGTACACAGGCATACAATGTGGAAAGTATACATAGCTAAATGTCTACATTGAACATTGAACATAATTTATTCTAATTTACAGGTTGTGAGATATTTACCAACTACTTTACCTGTTTTTGCCTGTGGTCATCTACACATGCTGAATTAGGCAATGTGTCACATATCAGGAAATGGATACCATGACATTTTAGTCCCTTTCACTGATGCTAAATGGATGCAAATAGCGGCCCCTTGTGGAAGATATTCCTCCTGCTAAAGATGAGATCGCATCTCAGAACAACTATAGAAAAGCATGTCATGAATATCTGAAACAGCACTCTGTGGTAAAAGATTGTAAAAATGTGTATGTGGCATAAAATGACATTACAACTGATAATAACATCACATCGTTATTTTGAAATCATTAATGGTAACATGAATGGACATAGTTTGTCATGACAACATATGAAATGTGCTATAACATGTTTATAGCATGGTTATGTCAATGTTATGTAGTGGAATGTTGCTAATATGTTAATTAGACATAACGTCCCTTATTCAGAAAGAGGTGTGAGGTAAATTACATGAGTATTTTTAAAGAAAATATAGGGTTAAAAATGCCTACAAAGTTCATCTTTGTTGTTAAGCCGTTCCAAAACCATTATGTGACTTCACATACTCCAATAAATGAACCTGTTGTGAATATTGATTAGCATGAAACTAGTTTATTTAAAGAAAATATTATATTGAGTAGCATAAATAAAAGAATATGAATTTCATTTCTGTTTAGTCATTTGGTAAGTTGTTAAGCATAATATTGAAGGTTTAATCTAAAATTCATAACTCAAATAAAATAAATAAATACATTGGGGCACAGGTTTGAATTTTGCATGGGTACATTATTCAAATAGATGATTGTTTTTTAATGGAAATCCATGATATGACCAGACAGGCTCTATACTGTTGGATTGTACCTTATTGATCCAGCAAGGTAAATCTGTCATTTTGCTGCTTAACTAAGCTCAGTATGGAAGCAGCTTAGCAACACCAACAGAGAGGCTTCACTCAAGGTCACAATCAGGAATACCCAGACAATAGTGGGATTTGAACCCACAACCTTCTGCTTGCTGGCTCACATCCCCTACCACTGCATTGCTTTTTACCAAAGCACTTTTTTAATGATTTTTTTTTTTGCAATATATGTGAATTGGTGTGGGATGACCCAAGTGCTAATTCCATCACCATGTGCAGTGATGGCTCAATCACTGCTAGCTTGATGCAGATTTGGGTGGCATGCATTTGTAATCTTGAGCTCTAGATGAATATAAATTTTCTTAAATACATTAAAGCTGAAGTTCTGTTGAGAGGCCTCAAATCCCAACTTTTCAGACTGCCTTATGTTTATACTAGCATGAATGATGGGTCTGTTAAACACACAAAGGTTGACAGAAGTTATCTTGACTCTACAAATTCACTTTAATGCTGCATCACACCACTAAATCAGCCTTCTTTCATGTTTTGCTTCAATTCTGCATATTTAATAAGTTTATTTATTTATTTACTCATTTATTTATTGATACATGTATGTTGCAATGTGAATGTAAATGCAATGTAAAACAAACAGACAAAGTCAATAAATAAGACAAGTCTTATAAAAGGATCCAGTGAATGTCTGATTCTGATGGAAATATGAACAGGTGGACAGTAAACAGGCTGCTGACACACCTTAAATGCAAACTGTTTCCAAGTGTAGATCAGGACAAAAGAGAAAGTAGCAAGCAGGTTTTGACACGTAGTGCATAAACAGAAGTGCATGCTAAACATTCAGATCAGGGGTGTAACTGGAAAAAAAAACTACCCCATCCAAAAATAACTTTCAATTAATAAGAAATGACTAATGTTTATTCTGTTTTTATGTTTGCTCTAAAATGAGTAGCCACTCCACCTAGTAGCACCTAATGTTACATGTTTGTTAGATTTCCTACTTTGATTATGTATATAATTTGTCAGTGAAGTTACAGTTAGAAGAACACAGGTCTGATTTCTGACTTCTCACTGCACTCAAATGGATCTGTTCAGTTCCATCAACAGCACCACTGTATTCATTTAATGAAGGACTGATAAGATAAAATATGTATTGGATAGTAACTGTGATTGCTGGACTTCCCACAGGGAAGCTTAGGCACATGGTTAAACTAACAAATAAACACTTACTGCCCAGATAAATGAACATTTTCTCAGATGCCTGAGACCTTTGCACAGTAGAAAATATACTATTATACAGTATTATTGTTTATTTGCAACAAATAACTGTTAAACTGAATGTATAAATGTATATTGTAATCCCAAAAAGTTAACTAACTAACTACCATACCCAGCCATGAAGTATGACAGTACCATAATCACCTCAGTCACTTGTATATTCTAGTGTAAACAATGCTTTGTTCACATATTAATAGATGTTGCTGGGCTTTGCTCTAGTTTAGTGTATCTTTAGGGCAACTTACATCTAAGCTTAGCACAGTTACCACTAAAATAGTAAATCTAAATCAATTTTGGATTATTCATTTGTCAAATAGAGCTTGAAATTTGGTAAAGTGTATATATATATATATATATATATATATATATATATATATATTTACACTCCTATTATATATTTATTTAAAAAAATCTTGAAATTGCAGTATCTTTTTGCAAAGTAAACATATTTTAAGGGATAAGCCAAGAATTAAATGGATGTAGCCTGACCTCAATGCTGTAGCCTAGACTGACAAACGTATCTTAGGTAATATTACTTAGTAACAACTTCAGTTAAAGCTTATTTTCCATGCTCATTCATGATACAGTAGGTTCTACATTATGTCCCCTAGTGGGTGTTATGTACCTATACATATATTATTAATTTATTCACTGCAAATTCCATCAAAGACTCAGGTGAGACCACTGTAGTTTAAACTAAGGTGGCTCCAGCTAATGTGGGTCAGACTGCTGTGGTCCGATTGCGCTGCAGTGGTTTTGGGAAACAGTCATTAGTTGGATGTTTGTTAGGCCTACACTAGACGATTTTTTGCCCGATTTTTTTCCCTCAATTTTCTCCTCAATTTAGTCGTCTCCAATTCCACCCACTAGTTAGGACTCCCCCAATCACACAATACCACCAGTGCTAGGAGGGTGAAGGTGAGCACAGGCTTCCTCCGAGACCTGTGAAGGGCCACCACATATTTTCGAACTGCCGTTCACGCAATGTCACTGGACATCCGAACGCGCTTGGTGGAGACACCAACCACCAGATCTGTTACATCGGCTAACAGATGCCTGCACTGACTAGCATCGCGTTGAGCGAGCTGAGCGGGTCAGAGGAGCTGCGAGTAAAACACAGGAAGAGTCGATGTTTATAATGTTGATCCAGATCTGGTCACTGTCTTTACAGCTTCAGCTTAGCTGCCAGTTTGTAGTGAAATATTTCTCCAGCTCTCAGTGAATCAGCGCTTCTCAACCTTATTTTAAACCCCAGTTTGAGCTTTACTGCACATTAAAGCCCAAACAGGTCCAGTAAGTTCAGCTCTGTGTGAGTCGTGAGATCTGAGGAGATCTGGGCGTTTGATTTCTTATTCGTGGCCCAAACTCGTGCGTTAAAATCTCTCTTTGCCTTGTTGTCTTGTCTGAGCACCTCACAACAAAAAGACAAGATACTCTGTGACAAACTGATGTTAAGTTTTAAATCTGTTAAGATTTTAAAGATCATGTACGCCCAGCCTTAGTTTTACCCATCATGCTATGTTAGTTCTATGGTGACTTGCAGTAAGTAATGCAGTATTACTGATATATGGTGATGACAATAAGTCACTGTGTAGTAAGACCAGAAATGGAAGTTCAGCAGAAACACTGACGAGCACATAAATTGTGGCCTGTGCCAATGTTATGGCACATTCTATTCCAAATAAACAGTAGCTGTGTATTAAAATGTACTGAAGTGTGCTGTCTGTTGTCACCCCTCCCCCGCTCTTGCTCGTTCCGCCCGCTCTCCTCCTCTCCCACACACCTGCAGCTCCTGCTAAATATACTCCTTTGTTTCCACTGTGAGTTTGCAAAGTCTCTGTGTATTTCGCCTGAGCTCTGAGCCTGTTTCTTATGTTTGGTTTTGACCCTTGTTTTTCTCTCTGATTTCAAGTTTGGATCTGTGTGTATGTATTTTGACCCCTACCTGTTATGACCTTGAGTATCTGAATGCCCCTAATAAAGTCTCTGTTTGTTTGCAACCTGCCTCAGCCCCTACGTTACATCTGTAGAGAATGTGTTCACTAATTTACACTTAGAACATCAAAAACAGCATGTAATTAAACTTCTGCGCATGACTACGTTAGTCAGCTCCAGGTTCAGTGCGGCTCAAACAGCTCTAGGTTCAGTGCTTGATGAATTATTGCTGCGCTGTCCCACATCTGAGCTTCTCTAAATACTGACCCCTAACCATCAACACACAATCCTGAACAGGAATACAATCTACTGCAGTTTCAGTCCAAATTCTGACCTTTCAGAAAACACAGCACAGTCAGGTACTCACTGCAGTGGCCTCGATGTGTTCTCCTCTCTGTTTCTGATACTCTGTTCTGAACCAGCTTGTCCCGTTTGGTTTTCTCGTGATTCTTCTGAAGGTGGAGACTCTATAATCAAGTTCAGCAACATATCTTTACATGCACATACCAGTGGATGGTGTTTCAGAGGCCAATTGAGCCACCACAGAGTTTTGGAAGGCAGGACCCAAACGCTAAGCTTCTGTGTGATTGGAAGGTATTATTGAAATAATACATTAAACGGTGGATACCGGGGCTCGAACCCACGCCGGCGCGTTGATAAACTGGCACTCTACCACTGCACTATAGAGGCCATGTCACGTGGTGCAGGAAGGGTTCGCCTTAAAAGGGAACGCCCGAAAACAGGTGGAAAAGGCAGTATGAAAAGCCACCTACTAAGGCTTAGGCAGGAACAGAACAAGGGATGCCAGGGGAAAGACTGGCTCTCTCAAACACTGAGGAAATGATAACTGAAAAAACACTTTCCCAACAGAAGAGAATGCATGAAGGAGAACGAAAAGGAGAAAGGGACAAACTTGTCCCTTCTCTAGCTTTACATTTAGTTTTTTTTTTTTTTTTTTTAAAGGAAGCTCTTATAAAGCCCCCTGAGCAGATGTGGCACATTTGGCTGGATTGGGTCGTTGACTCCCCGTGGTGGCCGGTGGTGGCCTAGCCCTGGAGCCAACCCTTACACTGAATATAACTCTGAGGCATTTTAAACCCTATTCTACAACCCCCTTTCCAAAAAAGTTGGGGCACTGTGCAAAATGAAATAAAAACAAAATGCAATGATGTGCAAATCATTTAAACCCTATATTTCATTGAAAGTAGTACAAAGACAACATATCAAACGTTGAAACTGAGCAACGTGTTCCAAAAAGTTAGCTCTGTAAGCGTTTGGGAACTGAGGAGACACTGCTGTAGTTCTGAAAGTGAAATGTTTTCCTGTTATTGATAAGTAAAGACAGAGTGTTGCTGGTAGGGGTCGAAGCATTTCAGATGGAGGAGCACTACGGAACGGGGTTAACACAGTTAATTCCACTCTTCTTAAAGTGAAAAGGCCTTCATTATAACATAGCTATGAACAACAAATCTCTCAATGTGTTATAACATCAGGGAGACTCAACTTCACAAAAGTGACAGATAAAACAACATCTGCTTGGTCACATGACTGCCTGGGCTTCATAATGCCGTTCAAAGAACTCACTAGAGATGCTTTGAAGAGTAAGATGAAAAAATAAGTGCGTTCCTGAGGCAAAGTTTCACCTTATTTATTTTTATGTCTGCATGACACACTATAAACAGCCGAAACATATTTACAGGATCCACAATTTCCGCCATCAAAAACCTTAAAAAATACTATATGAAATATATCCTTTGAGGACCAGGTGAAAAAACTGCCACTGGTGTAACATGTTAAGTATTTTTTTTTTCATGCAGTAGTGGGAAAAACATCAGAAGGACATTTAAAAAGGGAAATTTAGATGCAGGAATGCACTTTCAATTTTTAAACAATAACAAATAGGAACCAAATGTGTCACTGTCATTCTTTATTGTACAACCCCATTTCCAAAAAAGTTGGGACGCTGTGCAGAATGTAAGTAAAAATAGGATGCAATGATGTGCAAATCATGTAAACCATATTTTAAAGGAAAATACTACAAAGACAACATATCAAATGTTGAAACTGAGAAATTTTTATTGTTTTTTTAAAAATATTTGCCCATTTTGAATTTGATGCCAACAACACGTTCCAAAAAAGTTGGGGCGGGGTTTGTTTACCACTGTGTTTCATCACCTGTTCTTTAACAACACTCTGTAAGTGTTTGTGAACTGAGGAGACGCTGCTGTAGTTTAGAAAGTGAAATGTTTTCCATTCTTGATACAGGATTTCAGCTGATCATCAGTTCAGGGTCTCTTTTATCATATTTTTCATTTCATAATGTACCAAATGTTTTCAACGTTTGATATGTTGTCTTTGTACTACTGTCAATTAAATATAGGGTTTCAATGATATAAACAGCTAAAAAAACATTGTAGAGCTAGTTTGAGTTTAAAGTGAGACTAAATATTCTCTATAGGCTTTAAATCTGGACTCTGACCAGCCAGAACCAGCAGTAAAAACATTATATTTTGGGCTTGGCCTGTTTGTTTGCCCCAAGGTGTATAGCAAAACTATGAGTGGCTTTATAAGCAGATAATGGGGGGCTGGCTTGATATCGGTCAGTTAATTCATATTCTGAAATAGGCCTAGGTTTTTTTACAGAGCGTTTTCTTTTGAAGAATAAACAATGATAAACAACATCAGAGGGAATTAAGAGGAAACTAAAAGTAACTAAAGCTTTAATAGAAACTGATTGTGCTGCTGCTGACATCAGATTTAATGAATCTGTCTAATGAGCCATCCCAGAATAATAAGCCACTGTTAACCTACAGAATAAGGTTTACATAAACATCTAAAATGAATTAATTTAAAATAACATACACATTCTGTGATATAAACAGAGTCGATCATTAAATTGTAATTACGCTGTTATATAGATGTCTGTCTGTACCGCCCACCACTGCTGTAGCATGACGTAGTTTCATTGTTCTCATTGTTAATGTGGAGAGTTGGGGGGGGGGTGTAACCTGAGCTCTGCTCCCACTTTCACTTCCTGTTACTCAGACAGGCATCGTCTGTCTGACCTGCTGTCTGTTTCTCAGCTGCAGACAGAATAAGAACAGCAGTGCTCTGAGCTGAAGATCTTCTCTGAAGCTTCATGATGGTCTGGGCTCTACTCTGCATGTGCTTCCTCACTGTGGTGATTCCAGCAGAAGGACAAACAGCCTCGTGGCAGAAAGAAAGTAAGACTTCTGTCATTTTCCCTTCTTTCTCTTTCTTTTCTCCTCCTCTGTAATGTTTCCTGCTCCAGTCCACTTTACCTGAGACGAATCTTCTGCTGTAAGTGATCTGGAATGTAGGATACAGTGAACTGTGGGTTTGGTTCACTACATACAGTCATGTGTAAGGCTTTGAGCACTCCCAGTCAAATTAAGGACAAACGCTCTGTTCATTTTGTAAGTGAAAATAAGTTTACACATCTTCTGTACAGCTTACATTTGGGAATTTTCAGCAAATATATTTGCCCGGTTACATATTGGTATAAAAGTGAAACATAAAATATAAAATGTGGCATAACCTTTGCACAGGCCATGTTTTATGTTATATTTCCCCCCAGCATGCTTAATTCCAGAATTAAACAGTAATTGTTTATTAAAATGTGTAGAAGTTTGTTCTCTGTAGAGCAATGGTCTAACAAACACCTTAGCAACCATCTTAGATACCATAGCAATGACCTAGCAACATCTTAGCAACTACCTGGGGTACCAAAGCAATAATCTAAGAACCTTAGTAATCAACTGGCATGGACGAACAAACACCTTAGTAACCAGCTGGGGTACCATAGCAATAGTCTAACAACACTTAGTAACCTCATAGCAACACTATAGCACCTACCTGGAATAACTATATAAACCCACTTAAGTCATTAAAAACTAGTGTCCAGCTTTATCCTGTAAAGCTTGATTAGTCGCATTGTCCAGCCAACTATAGGCTAGTTTGTGAACTTTCCCCTCTAGTTCTATTTGTGTTAGGTGTTGTTAATGTCCATCCTCTACTCTGTTGGCACATCTTTTGAACATCTGGAGCTTTAAATTCAAAGTACACCCACAGGAACGCTGGCCACCCATAAAAATACTCCTGCGACAGAATGAAGGAGTGCAGCGCTGACGTGCCCTGACTTTATTAATGACACTTATTTTACTCACCATTGAGGCCTGTTCAGCATCCATTTCTCTCAGTGCTGGTCATGTGATTCTGCTGCTGACCTCCAGGTTTACTAACGCTGATGTTCTTCTCTGTGTGCTCAGATCTACAGGGACAGATGTTCAGCGTGATGTCTGGTGGAGAAGTCCGGTTCCGTTCAGACGCTCTCTCTAACGTCACCGGACTCACCGTCTGCATGAGGGTTCTGATTGAGAAACGCTACTACAGAGTTCAGCTCACGTTTGGGAACAGCACTGATGGAGTCTCTTATACGGGACCTGTTACCACTGTTCCTCAGCACTACTTATATGTAGAAGGTGACACAGTGAGCTTTGAGACGTTCTCAATGATGCCGTCTTTTGCGCAGCAGTGGCCGTGGAGGAACAGGTGCTTCACCTGGGAGTCCAGCAGTGGAATGGCCCAGCTGTGGTTTGACTCCACAATGAGCATCCGCAAAGGCGTCGGCAGAGGACAGGTGATGACCAAAACTTCTTAGGACTTAAGATGCTCTGAAACTTATGACCAAAGACTTTAGGTCCTATATGAAGGACACGAAGAAATTAGAACCTACGATGGTAAGAAACTTGGAGCTTAAGATGTGTAGGATGGTTAAGAAAGTGAACATATTAAGAACATTAGGTTCTAACAGGGACTTTGGACTTAACACTCAACTTAAGCTTAAAACTCCAGGAAAAGGAGTAGCATGTACCTAATATGGTGTGGTTATTTTTAAAAATATCACATTTAATGTCTTCTTTCCACACATCTAATACCACATTTAATACCTAAAATTGCATCTGTTTGAACTGTTGCTAAGCAGTTGCTGTGGCACTGCACTGCAGGTGGCTGCTGGACTGTTTGTAAGTATCTGTGTTCCAAAGCCTTGGCTGCAGCCGAGCTACGGCGGGTCCTCAGTAGGGCTGTCCTATGAAGACTCCTCTTTACTAGCCTACTGGTCACACAAATGGAGCAGTCCTAATGAGGCTGTGTGGTGACATCACCAGAAAAGCCCTGCCTCTTGCAATTGCGGAACAATACTTGAGGGAACTGGTGAGAGAAAATGGAGCCCACTGCATTGTGTTTGATTCTTTGGTAGCCAATACGCCAACAAGCTTATGCAGTATGATGAAACTATGTAAATACAAAGACTTCTAAATAAAATATGATATATGGACGACTGATTTACTTAATCAATCATTTTACACTTTATAAGGTAAAGAAGACGAATTCAAGGACGTGAACAACATTTTAAAACAAGCTCTTCTATGAAGAGTTCTTCATAGAAGAGCTTGACTTCTATGACGTAGCAGCCGAGAAATGTAGCCCACTTTGACTGCAGCCTAGCCTTTGGAACGCAGCTAGAGATTGCTTTGGTATCTCAAGAGATTGTTAGGTGATTGATGTGGTGTTTCAGGTGGTTGCTAGACAATTGCTATGGTACCTCATTTGTGGCAGTTAGGTACCACATTCAGCCATTCATTGCTATGGGAAACAATAGCCACTGTACAAAACAAGTGTTTCATTGGTCCAGAAAAGAGAAGCACATGATTAAGGTATAATATCTACAGTGGCTGCAGCTGGAAGGCTGTAAAAATGATGACCACTAAATAACAACAATAATAATTATAATAAGAAGAAACTGAAGTTCAGGAAATCAACTTAGTAATAAAACACGATAATTCTGTCTCTCTTTCTCTTCATCTGTGTGTCTGTCTTTCCTCTGTAGGTGTTTTCTGGCCAGGCTGAATTAACGATATCAGGATTTGAGGGTCAGGTGTCCGACGTCTACGTTTGGGACTCGGCTCTTTCTGTGAAGAATCTCTACTGTTACCTCACTCTCAATCACAGCTTCCCACCCGGCAGCGTTCTGGACTGGAAGCACATTCAGTACAGCACCAGCGGCTACGCTCTGCTGGAGCCCACTTACGTTAGACCCTTTTCAGAGAAGCCCACAAGACGGAGGAAGCAGAAACGAGAACGCGGCCTGAGAAGATATTAACGAAGCTTTTATGAACAGTAACAACACAGTACACAATCTTCATGATAAAACAGGGGGTCTTAAGTCCGGCCCCCAGTTTAGTGTGCATTACAGCAGACCAGACATTAAGTGAGCTAAAGAGCCTTTATTTCTCTCATTTACTCCTCAGTTTGGGCTCCTCTGTGATAAAATAGCTGAACTTCATCCAGTGTCCAGTCAGATCTCAGCAAATATCTTCTCGCTGATGTTCTTCATGCTTTTCATTGCCATCTGGACGTCCACTCTTGTTTCTTGCAGAACACTTATAGTTATGTGATAATCTTGCATGTAGAACATGTTTGAGACACGCTAAAAAGATGGTTCTTCAAGTGTTCTTTAGTAAAGGCAATGGTTCTTTAAGAAACATAAACACTCAAAGAACCCTTTTCATGCTTAAATGGTTTTTTGCATGGTGAGATGGCTTTTTTTTAGGTTGATGGAGAATGTATGGTATATCGTTCTATATAGAACCTTTTTAAAAATGTCTCTATATAGCACCAAAAGGAGTTCTTCTACTCTTACAAGCTTGCCATCGTAACAATAGCAGAACCCTTTTTGGTGCAATATAGAACCGTTGTCAAAAAAGCTGTGTATAGAACCATTTTCTTTACTAAAGAACCCTTGAAGAACTCTTTTTAAGTGTATAGATAGTGTGCTAGATTGCTTTGAATCATTTTGATAAAAAAGCCCTTTAAAAGCTTTTACGCTTGTTTATTTTTAGAGTGAAGAATTAATAAGTGGTTAAGATGTAAACAGAGTCATTCAGAATGGTCAGAACTGTTTACAGTGGTGCTGATAGGAACCAGACGTCCACCTCTAAAAGCTCCCTCACAGAAAGTTCCTACATGAAATGGTTATGAATTCACTGCCTGATGACTGAGACACTGTTTTATGATAGCTTTGTGAAAAGATTTTGGCTTAAAATGTATTTTAATCAATTTATTTCAGTCAGTTCATGGTGGAGGGATACATGCAGGGAATTGTAAGGCAAAATAGTCTCCAAAGAAATTTTTGATTTATCACTATTTCACCATCATCAATATTACATATAAAAACTTAGAAGGCATATGTAGGTTCACTGTTAATTAAAGTAAATAAAAGTAAATAAACGTCTATATTTGTGTTGTTGACACAATGGTGACTCCTGGTTCCTATCACCACCACTGTAAAGACATCAGAGTCTGTACGTTTCTCTGAAGTGAACCATTTCTCATCAAACTACTCTGAAAAGAAATAATAATTATACAGTACATCACAGGGTGGACAGGGCAGCCGTTTGTATCTCAAGGACTGAAATATTCAGAAATGTTGAAAAATTGGCGGAACTTTAATATTGTCCTCCAAAATTACATGAAAAAGCCCAGTTTGGTTGAATATTCATTAAAAAATGAGTTAACAGTGTAATTACCCAGGAATCTGCAACATAATTTTCTAATAAATATATATTCTATATTGTAATAAAATGACCCTCTACTGTTGTGGTTTTGTGTGTGGATTTTTGTTTTTCTTTACAGGTAAAAAAAAAACATTAATGCTATGACTATTGCCAGGGTTTTACTAGCAGTGCAGCAGTTACCCACAAAGACTTCAGCTAGGATAAACACACACCAGCAGAAATTAAATAAAGAGTGAATTTAAGTAAAAATTCAAGTGAAAAGCTTGGCTAATAAGCTTTAACATGACCGCAAATGAGAATCCTAGCAGAAATATGGGTTTGAATTTGAATTGAAGAAACATTTGATACAGACCTTTGATCACAGTCTAATAGATTGATCTGGGCACAGATTGTGTGAGTGTGTTCTTGTTCCAGCATTAAAGTCAATCATCACTGCTGTTCAAACTCCATTAAACACAAAATCGCTGCCAGTGACAGAGTTCATGTTCCCTCCTGCTTTGTTTTGCTACATAGCTGCTCTGTGATTGGTTGAGTGATCACTTCCTTCTAGGAGTCACTAAACCGGTTAAAGTGAATATGAAACTCTTGGCTCATTTTAGAGAAGAGTGGAACATAAAGTCCTTCAGGAGAAAAGACGGTGAGTCGGTAAATCTGAGCTGTAGTTTCTGACTGATTTTAATCTGCAGTAGACAAAGATCAGTTCAGTAGGTTTTTACTGAAGTCTTAACTAACAGAACTGACTCTCTGATCTGATGACCTGAATATTTCCCTGTGAGTGAACAGCCTGATGAGGAAGTGCCTAATCTATGACGGAAGTACTGAAGTGGAGTAAATATGTTTGGAAGCTATAATAGATTTGATGATGTTCTCATAGTTCTCTCTATAAAGAAATACTCATTTTTGTACTCAGTAGTTTTCAGTTGCTGACTTTGTTATAGTGTAACAATACTTAATATAGAGTTTGGAGCAGCACACAGCGCTCTGAGAACTAGATTATAGTTCAAATTACTGTGTCTTCAGTTAATACGAATGTGTTTTTAACTCACGCTTGTATTTACATCAGCAGGCGGCTCCAGAAGCTCTTATAAAAGACTTCTGCCACTACACAGTGCCTCCTGCTCCATTTCTCTGTGTGTGTCTGTTTGCAGGTTCCAGCTGTGACCTGTAGGAGACATGAACTCCAAAATGAGTTCCTCTGGAGAAGAACACACAGAGAAACACCAGAGGTGAGAGAACACACTCTCTCTCACACACACCAACACTTATTTACACACACACACACTCACACACCAACACTTATTTACACACACTCACACACCAACACTTATTTACACACACACACACACTCTTACACACACCAACACTTATTTACACACACACACTTTCACACCCACCAACACTTATTTACACACACACACACTCTTACACACACCAACACTTATTTACACACACACACACACTGTTACACACACCAACACTTATTTACACACACACACACACACTGTTACACACACCAACACTTATTTACACAGACACACACACTGTTACACACACCAACACTTATTTACACACACACACACTGTTACACACACCAACACTTATTTACACACACACACTTTCACACACCAACACTTATTTACACACACACACTTTCACACACACCAACACTTATTTACACACACACACTCACATACCAACACTTATTTACACACACACACACTCTTACACACACCAACACTTATTTACACACACACACTTTCACACACACCAACACTTATTTACACACACACACACTCTTACACACACCAACACTTATTTACACACACACACACTCACACACCAACACTTATTTACACACACACACACACAGTTACACACACCAACACTTATTTACACACACACACTTTCACACACACCAACACTTATTTACACACACACACACTCTTACACACACCAACACTTATTTACACACACACACACTCACACACCAATGCTTATTTACACACACACACACTCACACACTCTCACACACCAACACTTATTTACACACTCACATACACACACACACACTCACACACTCTCACACACCAACACTTATTTACACACTCACATACACACACACACTCACACACACCAACACTTGTTTACATACCCTCCTGTACACACACACTCACACAAACACACACTCACAGACACACACACACTCACACATATACACACACACACACTCACAGACTTGCACACACGCTCACACACACAAACACACACACACTCACAGACACACACACACACACTCAGACATGCATACACACTCACACACACACACACATTTTCTGATGTTTTGGTCTCAAACAGTGAGAAATGTAGAACAGTAGGTCTAACTCAGATTAAGCATGCAGTCTAGTCTTCCTGGTGGAATATTATTGTATTAAAGTTTTTTTTTTTTTTAAGGTACCAAATTTTTCATACAGTTAAAGTAGTGCTGTACACTAACAACAGTATATTCATATTCACTGTGCTGCCCATCTGTAACTCTACTCTGCATTGAAAGACATTTGATTAAGTTAATCTAGATTAAACCTTAAAACCTCTGTACCAACAGTGTTGAGCTGTTTCTTTCACGCCTGTTTCACAATCATGTCATACACCAGGAGTGGACTTTAGGAAGGCTGTAACACACTGTGAAGTGTTGTTGTTTTATACTAACTGTTCTGAGTGCTTTGATCCTAGTCTGTAATCTTTATCTCTTGTTTTTTTTTTTGTGGTGTTTTATTTCCTGGTTTTGACAAATGTGTTAATATTTGCTCTCTATTTGGACCGTTTTGGATTTTTACTTTGCAGACTCCTGTGTTTTCTCAGTAAACCCATGCTTAGATTCCACATCTTTATTCCGCATATCTAAAAATCTTAAAGAATAGCTCCACCCTAAGACCTTTTTTCATTAACAGCTGAAATGCTCTGCTCTCTAATAATAAAACATACCAGTGTTGCTTAAAATGTGAACAACATCTTTCCAAACTGTAAAAATATCATTTTTATTGTGGTCAGTTCCCCCTTTGCAGCGCCCCCCTCTGGTTCAGCTCTGCTATAGTCTTGGATGACATGTCATCGTACTTTGGTCACAGTATGCAAATCAGTCAACCAATGTTACCCCACCGATGACGCCCTACTCGTGCCACCCTCATAAATATGAAAGCTGGAGCCGAGAGTTAGGAGAGAACCACCCTCACACGCTGAGCCAAACACCCCCAGCACCACCTCACAAGGCTGAGATACACCAGCCGTCTGTACCAACTGTAAATAACCCAGTTAATCTGAGCTTAGTTTGTAATAAAGATTTTGGACCGATTAAATGAGGATTCTTGTCCCCATAAAGCTGCCGGTGTTGCACCAATTCTTGATTCCCTTCACAACTCAAGCTCTCAGCTGCGCACACTCACTGAACAGAAATCAATGGCAAGCAACACTAGAACTATGGAAAGTGAAATGGTTCAGGAAAGTTAATTTTAAATGGCCACTGTTACTGACCGTGTCAACCTTTCGTCTGTACAGCCTTTCTCAAACTTTTTTCCTGCTTTCCGTAGTTCCGGTGCTGCTTGCCGTTAATTTTTGTTCAGTGAGTCATGCCCGAGGGTTTGATTTTTGTAGGGGAACATGAATTTGAGTGGGAACTGAATCGGATGTAACACCAGTAAGTGCCATGAACAGCTTGCAGAAAATAAGGATTTAGGGCCACTGCAGCAAACCCTGGCTGACCGGTGATGCACTCTGCGACCTTGATGTCAAACTGAATGAAACTTAGACAGACTTCACCTGGTGAACAGATCATTAGAAGCTGTCTGTCATGGTTTTAGGGAATGTTCTACCGTTTGGCGCCTCTGCCGCTCACTGTTAATCAGTGTCCTGGCACTACATTAACTCTTCAGCGGTTTGAGTCAGTGGCTCATACTGTTAAGGCTCGAGACCTACTGCCTGATCAGAAACACCTTCCCTCGTCAAAGACGGGGATGGTAGTAGAGAAAAATCTTCAACCTCATAAGACTCTCCATATTTTCTGGTAACTAACGTATGCCAGCTCTAAAAAACACATAAGCCCAGCCTGCCTGGTTTCCCTCGCAGCCCCACCTCCAAACCTGTAGATCACTGCAGTGCCCCTCCCAGCTTGCCCCTCCCATTTTAGAGCATTTTTCAAAGCCGGGGTGCAGTTAGCTGAACGTAGTAAGGTGTAGTTACTCTTCAAATATTTATCATAGTATCCCATATGAGTGTTACTGTTCTTTTCTGTGTGTGTGTCTGTGTGTGTGTCATTCGTGCATGGGTGTGTGTGTGTGTATATTTGTGTAAGAGAGAGAGAGTGAGAGAGAGAGAGAGGACAGTGTTCTGATTTATTGTCATTCTTTCCTCAGGCTGGGTAATCTCACAGACAAAGTCTGCGCAGCTCTGTCCTCAGTTCTCAGCTCAGAGACCTCAGGTCTGAGAGAACTGGACCTGAGTGGCAATAACCTAGAGGATTCAGGAGTGAAGCTTCTCTCTGCTGGACTGGAGAATCCACACTGTAAACTAGAGAAACTGAGGTGAGATCATAATTTTATTAGTAATAATGCAGATCACATCCACCTCCTCCCCCCACAGACAAGGGCATTGGACCCTGAAGAGACAGAGGGGCAGTTCCATCTTTATTAGCATCACAACCCCAACAGCAGCCTGTGAGCAGCAATGCTGTGAGATTTTATCCACATTGTGACAGTAAAAGCAGATCATCTTAAACTGAGAGCTTTATAGTGAGATACAGTAACAGCTTTAATTGACTTTGTGTTGTTGTTGAAATCAAAAGTGAGTAGCTAGTGTAGGTAATGTTAGCTACCAGCAAGCTCCAAGTAACTAGCATAGCTAACTAAACAGTATGGTGACCAGCTTATTATTAAATATTATTTTATTTTCCTGCCTGTGTCTATTTTGACGTGTTGTTTCTGTGCCTCACTGTACACTAACAATCAGAGCAGAGATCATCAGATTATTCATGAGCTCCCCAAAAAAAGGAAAACAGCTTGTTTCATTGTAGACCCCAATAATAGGGCCATAAAAATTCTGAATAAATGCATTTTATAGCAGGGGTTCTCAACCTTTTCGATCCCAAGGCCCACTGGTGTATAACTACAAAGCATAGTGGCCCACAGAAAACTACAATCAACTTTTTAAAATACAAGAACTGGAAAAGATCAGATTGACATTCACATAGGTTTATCTTGAACCTGCTGAAGACATGGTTTAACTGAGGTTTAAGACAAGGTTATTGCAATTGAAGCACATCTTCAGCTCAGATGTTTTAATAATTTATACCTATACATATAAACTTTACATCATACTGTTTTGTGGCATGTTTAAATTAATGAAATGCAATGCATAATTGAAACATACATTGAGGTATCATACTCAAATAAAGGAAATGTTTATCACTGCAGTCTTGATGAGGCTTTTTTAGAATGTGTTGTTCAGAGAAGCTAAAGATGACCTGTGTTTAGGCTATCACTGTTATTGACTCAGAGGGGGAACCGCACAGACACACTTAACTACACAATCTTCTCAATAAACAAAGGAAGGAAGAAAGAACGAACTTGTGTATTAGCCAGCCTGTACAATTCAAAACAACATGCGCTGACCACTAAGGGTTTCTATTGGAACAGTTCAATACAGCACACTGACCCCAACTGAAGGCTCGTCCCGTCAGTCAACAAATTGTGGCTTACTGCACAAGCGACAGTGATACTGCTTGACCCATGTGGCCTGTTTACAGTTTCCTGGTGAGGCAGGTAAAACAGGCAGCACTTCACTGTAAGCCCCTTTCTCGAGTCCAGTCATTCCACCCACTCATAGTTTCATGTCAACTAATCATGCAAAAAACATGTGGATACTTATTTTAGCTGTTTGGTTTAAGTATTTTTTCCACATATAACAACAATAGAGATTCACATATCAAATAATTTTAAATAAAGTGCAGCCAGGGGAGATAAAAAAGGTAACAAAGCAGAAAACAGTAATCAGAAACAATGAAATAAACTGACAGAGAAATATCAATAACAGAAAGGAGAAAGAGAATCTGAGTACATAAAACAGAAATGCCACAAAAATGCCAAAATCACAGTACAGCCTCCAGGTTTTATTGTGCCGTGTTTTGTTTATTTAGCAGGTCAGTAAGCAGTCAGGTTTAATTTAATGCACAGCTCTTTGATCTGTACTTAGTGCATTAGACAAAAAAAGTTGATTTAACAAAAACACTGTACAATTTGTGCCTCAACAGAAATGGTTCTCTACACTGTAGATGCCTTTTACGCGTCATATGGCCTGTGATGTTTTCATGGACATTTGCTTGATTTCTTGATTTAATTGTACTAGTTTTAAAAATATAAACACTGCTGTCCTTTTAAACTCTCCTCCTTCAAAATGTTTACTTAAATCCATAGTATTTTAAATAAAATACCCAAATACAGTCTGAAAATTTTAAACCTGCAACCACATCTATCCCTGCAAGTCACCACAGCCAGTGGGAAATGTACACACCATGTGTTTCCAATGTAACGTCTTGAGAGTGCGCCGTCTTGGCTGGAAAAAGGCAGGAAAATTCAAACAAAGGAATTCCAGAGCAGCGGCTCAAACAGAGACAGTTTGGTATAAAATAAATAAATGAACACAAAAGAAACACTCTAAACGAGAGGATTGAACCTGCAAGTAACTTTCTCCTTTGTTAATTTATTTATCATTGGAGTTTCCTTTCTTCTAGCTTTTTTTCTTTTCTCGCTGCTTTGTGTTTTCTTTTCTCGTGGTTCTCTTTTATTTGTCCTTTGTTTTGAACCAAGTGTGCCTTTTCTTTTCATGTTAGGCTCTCTTTTATTTTCCCTTCTTTTTCTTTTCTCCGATACCATACTAGTAACCGCTCTATAAAGGGGTGATACTGAGTGCCATTTGTCGCTGTCTTAAGTACAGCACTCAGCAGGTGAGCCTAGTTGCCCTGATAGGCCCCGAAGTTGACAAAAGCAGCCTTTATGACCAATGGCAGTTATTGGAATAATCCTTTATACATTTTTTTGCTGGTTATCATGTTGCATTAGGAACTGGCCTGCAGTAAAGTGTTCCCATCATTTCTAATGTTTACATAAATATAAAAAATTGATTCAATTAAATGTGTAAAATATAAGCTCTGCCAAATAAAGAGCTGATTTAAAATATTCTATCTATAAAGCAGTTTAAAATTGAGAGTTTGTTTCTCCAGTTCTAATTTTGGCACCATTAAAATATATTCCAGAGCATAAACAAAGGCCACATGTGCACTCAACCCTGATTAACAAAGAGATCAAGTAAACTGGAAGCTGATTTCATAAATAAAAATAGCCCTATTTAATTTACTTATGCAACACTGAACCTGTTCTAGAACACTGAATTATTTTAAAAAATCATATGGCCTAAATAGCCTATAGATAATTATTATTAAGTTATTTTCATTTTAAATATAACACAATTGTGTGATCTCAAACATCTTTAAAAACGTCTATTGTAGTAAAATGTAGTAAATGTAGTAAAAAGTGCAGTTTAATTCAAGCTACACTGGTGACTGATTGCTGGTGAAAATGTATGAATGCACTCTGTGATGTTTTTTAAGAAGGAATCCCTTCTTATTTCCATTTTGTGGAATGTTTTGGTGGAACAAACTTTATTTACTAATATGCTCATCTCTTCGTGACTCAACTTTCAGTTTCAGTTTGTTAACAGCTCAGTTACTTCACAGCACCTTTTAAATTCTGCATCTCACAAGTGCATGGTTGGTATGCCGTGCGCTGTTTGTGTGATAAGCCACGGCTTTAGTAATTTCGGGGACACTGTGCTCACATACTGCGGTCACATTAAGCCACATTCTGTGCTGGAGTTGCACTCATAAGTAAGTCTGGCCCTCAGTCTAATACACAGAGCTCCAGAGGCAGATTTAGATTCTTAGTTTAGAGTTATTGAGATGCACTGTGACTCTGCACTGTGCATGCAGCTCCCGAACCTCCAGAAACAGTACATTTGGTCAGAGTAAGCTTACTGTGCAGGGCAGCCTCGCTTGTTTTGTCCTAGTTTGGTTGCATTCCAGCATCTGTAAGCCATTTTGGGTATGAGTGTCTTTTTAGCACTGTCTGTGTTAGTAGACTAATACTTTAGCTTTCTGTATATTATCATATATGGTGGCAGTTCTAGACCCAAAACTCTGTTTAGGACTGTAAATAAACTTCTTCAATATCCCACTTCATCTACCTCCAGCTCCCCTGTTTTGTCTGGACTTCTTTCAGGATACAGTAACACAGTCTTCTCTCTCCACAGTCACCCATCCTTAGCACTGACAGTCTTCTCTCTGCTGTCACCTGTCGATTCCTGTACAGTCTCTGATATTGTTTCTAAGTCTTCTTCCTTTTCTTGTCAGCTTGACTCTGCCCCTCCAGCTCTTGTAGGAAGTTCCTGCAGTTACACCCATACTTAAGAAATCTGAGGTGATGGAAAGAACTGTAGCTTCACGGCTTCAGGATTTTCTCAGTAGAAGTAATCTGTGAGAGCCCTTCTAGTCTGGCTTCACCACCCTCCACAGTACAGAGTCTACCTGTTAAGAGTTGTTGATGAAATCCTGCCTTCAACTGATGCTGGTTTAATATCCTCATCCTCCCTGATCTCACTGCAGCTGTCAACACCGTGAACCATGGCACACTTATTTCATATTTTAGTCCATAGGCATTTCAGGCTGAGCTCTTGATTGGTTCAGTTTCTCTCTAACTAACAGACAACAGTGACACACGTCATCCATTATCTAGCAGCTCAGGGGGTGGTCCAAGGTTCTGTCTTTGGACCCATTATTTTTGTGGTATGCATTTCACCCCTAGATCAGATCTTTCAAAATCATGGTTTAAAGTTTCAGTGTTATGTTGATGATACTCAGATTTACATTAGTACCAAATCCCCCACAGTTTCATCTCAGCAACTGAGTTCATGTAGTACAGATTTAAAATACTGATTGCGTAAAAAATTTGAAACCTAATGTAGAAAAAACTTTCTTGTTAAGTTTTGTTAGCTGATCCTAAAGCTTTAGTCTCAAACGTCTCCAATTTCACTGTCCCTACCAACTTCAGTTCGTTCAGCATCCAGAGTCCTCACTTTTACCGAGCTCTCGGCACACATCACCCCCATCCTCCATCAGCTTCACTGGTTACCAGTATCCCCCTGTATCAATTATAATATGTTATTATTCTTCTCCTGCTAACTTTCAGAGCCCTTCTTGCTCTCACTCCTACACACCTAATTGAGCTCCTTCATCCTTACTGTCCCCGCTCTGGAACTGGACTTCCTATTAGAAGCTATAAGCGTCCCTGTAGAGTTACTTGTTTTGCTTGTCCAGAATCAGCATTGCCGGCTGTTTGAATCCTGTGTGGAGAAGTAGCTGCTGGGATGTTTTCTCCTCACTACGGTAACTGAGACATTTGGTTGATGTCTTTACAAATGAGTTGCACTGGACTGGGAAACCGAAGGGTTCTCAAACACAAATTCACTCCTCTTCTTCCAGCTAAAACTCGCTCTCTCTGCTGGCCACTTCAGAAAGATCAGCTACACAATCATCCAAAGTAGACAAAGCTGATGTTAGCTTCTCATTCACCAGCTTCTTACTAAAATTTTCCTGAGGGATGACACTGTAACCACTGCACTGTTTTAGGAGGACAGTAATTTGCGTAAGAGGCTGGTGAATAAGAAGCTAAGCTCAGTTTCATCTACAGTGGGCTGGTTCACACATACACACAGCTGCATAGCTGAGGTCTTTTATATTAGTGGCTTTTAGGAACTTCATGGACTGTGTTACACAACCCGATATTTCCCCTTATCACACACTTTATAGCTGAAATCTAACTGTATTCTAGGATGGCTGTCATGACCTCTATCAGGATCAAAGAAAACTGGGTCTCAAAGTTAAACAGAGTCATCTAGTGGCCATATAATGAAAAAAGCAGAGCATAAAAGAAGAACCATCATGACGGCTGTCTCTCAAACAAAATGTGTGTGTGTGTGTGTGTGTGCATGTGTGTGTGTGTGTGTGAGAAAGAGAGAGAGAGAGAGAGAGTGAGAGAGGCAGAGATACAGTAAGAGTGTGTGTGTGTGAGTGAGAGAGAGAGAGAGAGAGGCAGAGATACAGTAAGAGTAGACTGACCGGTAAACAGACCTGTGGTGTCAGAAACCTCTTCACCACTGCAGTCTGGTACAGTTACCGCATTACTGCTGCTGCCTGTCCCAGCCTGCGGTCGATACTCCTCCACCCTGTCAAGTCCTTTCCCCTTACCTGGAGTGGGCATGCCATCCTTTTCTAGGCTAGGACCATGGACTGATCCGCATACCAACTGCTTCACACTCAGCTGCAAACCGCTCCAGTGAGCGCTGGAGGCATCCAGCCAAAAGAACAATATCATCTGCAAATAGCAGATATGCCACCCTCTGGCCTCCACACATAATGCTCGCCTGACCTCAGCTATCCCTTGACACCCTGTCCATGAATATCACAAACACTAGTGGAGACAAGGCACAACACTAACACTGAAAGAGCCTGACTTAATGCCGAGTATACAAACACAACTCTCGCTCTGGAAGTCCAGAGATTGAATAGCCCGGAGTAGTAGCCCTGGCACCCCATACTCCAGAAGGACCTCCCACAAGACATCTTGGAGAACACAGTAGTAAGCCTTCTCCAAGTCCACAAAACACATGTAGACTGGGTTGGCAAACTCCCATGCACCCTCAACAATCTGTGAGAGGGTGAAAAGCTGGTCCATTGTTCAAGGGCCAGGACGGAATCTGCATTGTTCCTCCTCAATCTGAGGTTCAACTATCAGTCGAAGTCTCCTTTCCAGCACCTTGGCATAGACTTTCCCAGGGAGGCTGAGAAGTGTGATACCCTGGTGGTTGGTATACACCCTCCGGTCCCCTTTCTTAAAAATAGAGACAACCACCCCGGTCTGCCAGTCCAAAGGTACAGTTCCCGAGGTCCATGCAATATTGCATAGGCGTGTCAGCCGCGACAGCCCCACAGTATCCAGAGCCTTAAGCATCTCTGGACAAATCTCATCCACCCCCGGTGCCTTGCCCCTGAAGAGCTTGCCAACTACCTCAGTGATCTCCACCAGGGAGGGAGGCATGTCTCCCGGATTAAGGAGTTCCTCAAAGTGCTCCTTCCACTGACCGACAATATCCTCATTTGAAGTCAGAGTTTCTCCACCCCTGCTGAATACAGCTTGGGCAAAGCTGCCCTGACCTCTCCTAAGTCACCGGATCGTTGTCCAGAACCTCCTCGAGGCTGACCGAAAGTCTTTTTCCATGGTCTCACCAAACTCCTCGCACACCCTAGATTTTGCTTCCACCACCATTGCTGCTGCCAGCTTTTTTGCCTGTGGGTACCTATCTGCTGAGTCGGGAGTCCTTCGGACCATCCAGTCCCTAAAGGCCTCTTTCTTCAGCTTAAGCACAAACAACAGTCAGAGTTTTTCTCTGCAATTTTAATTTGCATTGAGGCAACCCTCTCGTCCACCGGGACAAACTCCAACTGCATGGCCGCCAGCCGGGGACTCGTGAGTATCCCCACACCCGCCCGGTGCCTCTCACCCTGTGCAACCCCTAAGTAGGAGAGGGACTAACCCCTATCAAGGAGTTTCGTTCCAGAGCAGACACTGTGGGTGGAGGTGAGCCCAACTATATCTAGTTGGTATAGCTGGGCAAACACCCCACGCTTTACCAATAAGAGTCCTTGGGCAAGACTCCTAACACTACCTTCGCCTACCTGTGTAAAAATGATCAAATTATAAGTCGCTCTGGATAAGAGCGTCTGCCAAAAATGCCATAAATGTAAAAAATGTAAATGTTGGTACCTCTACATTCCACGTACCATGAGCCAGTTTCTGCCACAGGGGCCTAGGCTGCCAAGGCCCTCCCCGCCATCTCCCACTGCCTATATGGCACTGCACTGCTGGACCTTGCGGGTGGTGGGCCCACATGGTCTCCCCATGTTGAGCTCTTCAGTCTGAGCCCAGCCAGGTTATGTGGGCTGCCCAGCCACCAGGCACTTGCCAAGGGACGCTACCCCCAGGCCTCGCTCCAGGGGTAGGTCCTGGTGACCCTTTCCTGGGCAGGGTACACAATCTTCTGTGTTCATTTTCCATTGAGGATATTTTTGGATCAAGTTAGTCTGGGTCTTCACTCCAGACCTGTTTGCCCTGGGAGACCCTACCAGGAGCATATTGCTCCCGACGACGTAGCTCCCTAAACCCCACAAGCCCTTCCACCACGTCAAGGCCCCAATCCAGGCAGGGTCTTGGTTTTATTTAGTTTTATTTAATTATTTGTTTGTTTGTTTATTTATTAACTTTTAATATATAGATCATTTTTGTTGTGCTTTGACAATACAAATGTACATTTGTCATGTCAATAAAGCAAACTTGAACTTGGCAGAGAGAGAGAGAGGCAGAGATACAGTAAGTGTGTGTGTGTGTGTGAGAGAGAGAGAGGCAGAAATACAGTAAGAGTGTGTGAGAGAGAGACAGAGATGCAGAGATACAATGTGTGTGTGTGTGTGTGAGAGAGAGAGGCAGAGATACAGTGTGTGTGTGTGGGGGGGGGTGTGGGGGGGTGTGTATACATGGGTGTTCAACCATAAATCTGAGGAGTTTTTCTCCTTCTCTCTGCAGACTGTGGTACTGCGGAATTACAGGTGAAGGCTGTGCTGCTCTGGTTAAAGCTCTAAAATCAAACCCCTCATCTCACCTGAGAGAGCTGGACCTGAGCTACAATAAACCAGGAGAGTCAGGAGTGAAGCTGCTCTCTGATCTACTGGAGGATCCACACTGTAAACTGGAGAAACTAGAGTGAGTTATTGACTTACTGTCAACACACACACACACACACACACAATGTTAATATTATTATTTATATTAATCTATATAATATTTTATTTTATTGTTATATTTATTATAGTATCCTTTACCAGTGTTATTGTTTGTGTGTGTGTGTGTGTGTGTGTGTGTGTGTGTGTGTGTGTGTAGAGACAGAGAGAGAGAGAGAGAGGACATTGTTCTGATATTTTGTCATTCTTTCCTCAGGCTCTGTAACTGTGATCTCACAGAGGAAAGCTGTGCAGCTCTGTCCTCGGCTATCAGCTCAGAACTCTAGTCTGAGAGATCTGGACCTGAGTAACAGCAAACTAGAGGACTCAGGAATGAAGCTGCTCTCTGCTGGACTGGAGAATCCACACTGTAAACTGGAGAAACTGAGGTGAGATCATAATTTTATTACTTAGGATGCAGATCACATCCACTTCCTCTCTCACAGACAAGGGCATCAGACTGCGGGTAACGGTGGACCTGACTGACAAGTGCCCTGTCTGGATGGGGGGCTTCCAAAAGCCTCGTAATAAAGTTTATTTTGGTTTCTAGTTTTCATATTTTCTGATATTATAGATTAAGCGTTGCTTTTCTGCCTGTTTCCTTTATCTATTCATGATTATAAAGTATTTCAGACTTTTATACTCGTTTTAGGTAATCCTAGTAAGTCAGGTTCTCTCACTATATTAGCAGATATTTCTGTTTGTTTTAAGAAACATGCTTGAAACTACAAAAATTATCTGCCAATATAGTGAGAATTTTACTCAAAAGATGACTTAAAGCAAGTAAATGCCTACAAATAAGTGAAATAATCTTAAAATAAAATCACAACAATCTCAAAATGAGAAATATTAGATTATTAGATTTAAGATCATTTCACTTGTCAAGATACTATTTTTTAGAGTAAAATACAACTGATTTTATTGATTGTTAGAGGTTTGACCCTTAAATCCATACCAACCAGCCTCTCGTCCAAAACAAATATCAAATAATAAACACATATTTTAACTTCTTGATTTAGTTGAAAGGGTCCAGGGGACACTACTCTGGCAGGGGCGCAAAATATGTGCTATGCCCCCCCCCCACACTCACATACAAACACACACACACACACACACATACACACACACACAAACATACTCACACTCTCTCTCACACTATTCAGATTTTACTGTCCATGAACCAAAATTTGTGGAGACATACAGACACAGTGTGTGTGTGTGTCGCAGGGATTATAAAGTCTTAAAATAGATCATTTTAAATTACACTTTTAATTTTTAATTAAAATAAATGAATCCTTTTCAGGTGATAAAATGTGTGAAATTGTTTTATGTTTACTGATTTGTTAAAGTTAAGGTTTTACTGCGGTATTTTAACTGAAATGTTCAATTTCGGGACGTCCAGGCACATTTTACTGGATCTGTATCGGTTAAAATGAGCTCAGTCCAGTTCAGTTCATTTTTTCTGCACTGTTTACGTCACTATCATAGAGGAGCCATAAACAGACATTACTCCACAACCTGCAGCCTGAGCAGCGTTTTCAGAAGATCACAGGGATTTTTAAATGTCTGCAGTGCTGAACTGTTTTAAAGAGGAAGCGTAAACTGTGGAGAATCTGCAGCTCCAGTGTTTTCACTGTTTTTAAACTAGCTGCCTTTCTCTGAACAGAGGAGTGTAAAGTCTGAAAGAAATTTCCCGTGGCGCGGCGGTAGCTGCAGCGGCCACTTCGGGAACAGCAAAACGGTGCTTTTTTACAATTTTTTTTGTTTACTATCTGTCGTGTAACCCAACCAAAACTATATATCATGACTGCCTCAACCAGCACTAGCGTCTACCATTGCCAGAGTCTGCTACAACTGAGAAATCAGCCACAATCTCAATCTCTGCTTCCAAATGAACTGCGGAAAGAGCTGCGCGAGCTGGGCCTGCTAAGATCCACGGCGCTGCATGAGCCTGCTAGCCAAAAGCGATGCGCAAGAAGGCAGAAGCGAGACAAGCAAGGCGGAGTTCACACTAAGCTAATGGCTAACCCCAGACGACCAGCCGTTCCATCGCTTCTTTTCTCAAACATTTGTTCCCTGGGGAAAAAACTGGACTACCTCCAGTTTCAGCGGGCTACCCAGCGTGAGTTCAGAGACTGCTATGTTTTCGTTTTTACCGAGACATGGATCATTAGCTCCACTCCGGACTTAGCAATTCAGCTCGACGGCCTGTTGTGCTTCCGTGCGGACAGAGATGCTGAGCTGTGCGGTAAGACTCGAGGTGGGGTACTGTGTGTTTACATCAACACTGGATGGTGTAAAAGCACAACGCTTGTCTCTAGTCACTGCTCACCGCTGGTGGAGTTTGCGATTGTCAGAGCCAGGCCATTTTATTTGCCAAGAGAGCTAAATATGCTGTTCATAGTAGCGGTGTACATAGCTCCCAGTGCTAATGCTAATGCCACACTGAATGAGCTGTACAGCACTATCAGCGATCTGCAAAACATGCACCCAGACAGACTGTTTATTGTTGCTGGAGATTTCAACCATGCTAATCTGAAGTCAGTGCTCCCAAAATTTCACCAGTATGTGGACTTTGCAACCCGGGGGGCTAACGTGCTGGATCTTGTTTACACAAATATCCCCGGTGCGTACAGGGCCGAGCCCCGCCTCCACTACGGCTACTCAGACCACATCTCTGTGATGCTCACTCCAGCATACAGACCGCTCATCAGACGTGCCAAACCAGACCAGAAGCAAGTGAGAACCTGGCCACCAGGAGCTATCTCTACTCTTCAGGACTGTTTTGAGCACACTGACTGGGAGATGTTCAGAAAGGCAGCAACCTCCGGTGACACAACTCACCCCAACCAGAAACCGTGGATGACTGCAGAGGTGCGCATGCTGCTGAGAACCCGTGACAAGGCTTTCAAGTCAAGGGACAAAGCAAGCCTCAGGATAGCAAGAGCCAAGCTTTCCTGGGCCATCAAAGAGGCTAAGCGTGCCTACTCAAAGAAAATCCACAATCACTTTCAAAGTGATGTTCTCACGGACATATTCAACATCTGTCTGAGCACTGCAGTTGTTCCAACGTGCTTCAAGTCCACCATCATCATCTCTGTGCTGAAGAAGTCTCCAGTGTCCTGCCTCAATGACTGCCGTCCCGTTGCACTCACTCCAATCATCATGAAGTGCTTTGAGAAGCTTGTCATGAGGCACATTAAAGACAAGCTTCCTCCTTCACTGGACCCACTGAAATTTGCATATCACCCCAACCGCTCAACAGACGACGCCATCTCCACCACACTCCACCTGGCTCTCACCCACCTGGACAATAGAGACGCCTATGTCAGAATGCTGTTCATAGACTTCACTTCAGCATTCAACACCATCATCCCCAAGCAGCTGATTGGAAAACTAAGCCTGCTGGGCCTGAACACCTCCCTCTGTAACTGGGTCCTGGATTTCCTGACTGAGAGACCTCAGTTAGTCAGGATAGGTAATAACATCTCCGGCACCACCACACTGAGCACCCTCAGGGCTGTGTGCTCAGTCCGCTGCTGTTTACTTTGCTGACTCATGACTGTACTGCAAAGCACAGCTCAAACCACATCATCAAGTTTGCTGATGACACGACTGTGGTGGGTCTGATCAGCAAGCGTACAGAGAGGAGGTGCAGCGGCTAACAGACTGGTGCTGAATGTAAACAAAACTAAGGAGATGGTTGTTGACTTCCGGAGAGTGCGAGGTGACCACCCCCCACTGAACATCACTGGCTCTGCTGTGGAAATTGTCAGGAGCACCAAGTTCCTTGGTGTCCACATCACAGAGAACCTCACCTGGTCCCTCAACACCAACTCCATAGCCAAGAGAGCCCAGCAGCACCTCTACTTCCTGCGGAGACTGAAGAAGGCTCATCTCCCCCCTCCCATCCTCACCATGTTCTACAGGGGGACTGTGGAGAGCATCCTGAGCAGCTGCATCATCGTCTGGTTTGGGAATTGCACCGCCTCTGACTGCAAGACCCTACAGCATATAGTGAGGACAGCTGAGAGGATCATCGGGGTCTCTCTCCCCTCCATCATGGACATCTACACCACATGTTGTAGCCTGAACGCCACCAGCATTGTGGACGACACCATCCATCCCTCACGCAGACTTTTTTCACTGCTGCCATCTGGCAGAAGGTACCGGAGCATCCGTGCCATCACTGCCAGACTCTGCAACAGCTTTGTTCCTCAAGCAATCAGGTTTTTAAATTCACAAGGACTGAACTAATCCCCCCCCCCCACACACACACACCTCTTTTGATGCACTACTTGCACTATCTGGAACATTACTGCTAATACTGTGTTTACACTGTTTTACTACCTCAGTAACTGCTGTGCTCACGTACGTTATCTGACTGCGTAACTCACAGATCACAGCATGTTAAATACCTCTGCACCTTATTCCACTACCTCATGCTCAGAAATGAGTGCTGTGTTGGCGCTACACTGTCCTGTCTGTTTATTGTGTCTAATGTCTGTTTAATTTATTGTATTTATTTTATTGTTGTACCATCTTATAAAATTATTATTTCACATAAGAAGTCCAATAAAACCAAAGTTATCATATAAATGTTCATATAAAGTCATATGAGGTTTTGTGGCATGTTTAAATTACTGAAATGCTGTATTGTGTAACTGAAACACACTTTTAGGCATCATTCTCAACTAGAGGAAGTGTTAATCACTTCAGTCTTGATGAGGCTTTTTTAGAATGTGTTGTTCAGAGAAGCTTAAGATGACCCGTGTTTAGACTATCGCTGTTACTGACTCAGAGGGGGAACGTGTCATCAACTGAGTCACTTAACTATACGATCTTCTCAATAAAGAAAGGAAGGAAAAAGGAAGAAGGAATGAAACTGTGTATTAGCCAGGCTGAACAATTCAAAACAATGCACAATGACCGCTAAGTGGGATTCACTACCCACACTGTCTTCAGTTTGTTTTGATCTGTTCCAGCA